AGTAGAGGATTATTAGTAGTATTATTATCTAGTGTTATGATTTATTTTGTTTAGTTCATTAACGGAATTTTTAACATCATCCAACTTTTTGAAATTTGTTGGGGCTTTTCCTTCAATGACCTCGTGAATTTCGTCCAGTCAGTGTTGAGCTGACCCGGAGTGCTGACGTTGAGCAAAACTGTGCCTAAGGTTAAAATTACTGGATAGTGGTCAGAACTGAGCGCGTTATCTGAGATAATCTGTAAATTATATGGAATATTTTTGAATAACGCGATGTCCAAATGCTGAACTCTTTGCGAGGCACACTAATATTTACATGAACTTGGCAACGAAGCCCCAGAATTTTCGACAAGATTCCACACAATTCTCGTATTAGTCCTATCGTTTTGAAATTTCAATTTTCATGAAATACTATTTTTTTGCTAAAATGATTACCAAAATATCGCCAAGTCCGCAAAAATGTCTCAAAACCAAGCCTCCCTTAATAAATGATTAGATGTTTTTTTTTTCTTCTCTAAATTTCGTTAGAATTACTCAGTTTCCCAATACTTGTTTTTATTAAACTGTTTATCTGATATATTTAGTTATTTTTTAGCGAAAGAATATCTGCAAAATTATTCACGCATTTACAAATTCATAACAATAATATATGTGACTGTGTCGAGCATAAATGAATGTTACAGACGGTGAATGCCATTTAAAATTAACCTTGACTGGAAATACGAAACTGGGTAATTAGATTCAATTACCCAGTACAGGTACTCGGTACTGCATACTGAAATTCGTCAACCATGTCCGTGTATTAAGCTAACAATGAAAGTCTGGATGGTAAGAGCTTTTTACCCGGTACTAGTAGAGATTAATTAAATGCAATTGAGAAAAAAAATTGAAGAAAACTAGAAATGTTGAATAAAAGCAACATAGAAATAATGAAACATTATATTCTTATCATTTATTAATAAGAGTTACAATTGTACATTTTGTTTACTCTTTCAATATCATTTTTGGTCATTCCTGGCTTTTTGAATGGGTGAAGTAATTTCTGTCCATTTCTGGCCACCATCGAGAAGGCTTTGTTATCGTAAATCATGATGGAGTCGTAATCAAATGTATTGTACAAGATATTCGCATGCCGGCTAAGCTTTCGGAAGTTCTTTTGATGACCTAGATTATAACAAATTATATATTTGAACTGAAACATAATAAATACTTACAATTTCATGTGTAAGCTACGTGGTAAATAACTTCGAATTTTCCACTACAGTATTAATCCTTAATGATTCCACTTTTATTTTAAAAGTAAATAGTTTGTACTTTGATAAATTTTCGTTAACAATAAAACCTGTATTTTTTTTCAATGTTAGAATCATCGAGGATTTGAAATACCAATTAAAGAAAAATATAAATTAAATAACATAAAATACAAAGTTAGTTGATAAGAATAGAATATCACACTAAATTTCAAATGTATTTGCAGCATTCGTATACAGATGGCGCCGCTGTTTTCTGTTGCATTTTAAGCCAATTCAATTGAAATTTTGGCAGAAATATCTATAAATTTTGTACCTGATTATACTACATACTGTTATTAATTTTAAAACAACTTCGTAAACAGATGGCGCTGTGGGCAACTGCTAACAGCACCATGTTGATACACTGATGCTAACAGCACCAAGTTGACGATAACAAGTTTTAAAACTTGTAAAAAAGAAATTTTTTGATTTCCAAAGAAAAGCATGGATAACCTGAAAATGCTATCACTTAACATTTTTCTATATCACTTTATTCATATAGTCGGTTATTTTTTAGAGCCACTGGTTCGAAATAATCAAAAAATGCAATGACGCAAACAATAGTTTTATCCTGTAAAAAAATGCTCGACATTCTTTTTTGCAAACAAATGCATTTCGCAATAAAGTTTCACGTATGCACATTTGCACTAGAACACTATTAGAATTGTGCAGTCAGCAGTATGCATATGTGCACCCCATAATCAGGAAACAGATTTTTAATTTTTTTTTGCTTTTCCTCTAAGTTAACTCGCAGTTTTCTCACCAGTGTCACAGTATATAACTTTAAAACAGGCTTACCATTAGGCTTATCAACAGGCTTAAACTAGGCCTATCATTGACGTTATCTAAAAGTAAAAAAAAGTATTTTAATTTTTACAAAGTGACGAATTCTAGACCCGTTTCAAAAAGTGCTTTTGCAATAATTATGTATGCACTTTTCAATGGTATGTCTTCATGCTTGATCCAAGGATTCCCTTGTCTTCTGGGTTTGAGTTAAAAACTAAAAGTCGATGCAGTTGAACATCGATAGTTGTAAACTCGGAATTTAGACGGCTGTTAAGCTCCGGTTATATGGTAACAAAATAAAGTAAAATTCGTTGTGTTAATACCTAAGCGAAAGCAGAAACATTTTTCATACGTTAAACATATTGTGGGACCACTTCATGTTATTCATTAATAAACCTCTGAAAATATCACTTACATGAGTCATAATAAACTCTTCAACTATTTTAATAACACTAGCAAATAATTTTGATATTTGCATACTGTTTCTGCAGATATCCCAGTTACACATATCCAAGAACAAGTTTATTATTAAACAGCTAATCTTTTGTTTTTTTTAAAAGGGAAACGAAATATTTACTTTCTTTAACATTTTCCAGATAAACGATCAAATACTCATTTCGGTCTGATCTGTTCTGCTCGTGGTAGAAGCCAAGGGCGTGTCCCAGCTCATGGACTATTGTACCGAAGTTGTGACACCCGTAACCAAGTGATAATTTCTGCGGACCGTTAATTTTACCCACAAAAGAAGAACACCTGTGGTTACAGNAACACCTGTGGTGACGTAAGCGAAATAAATTATGCTTTAAGCATTGAACTCATTTTAATTTATTTTTATTATATATATACATATAAATGCAGAGAGAGAGGGAGGAAGCGAGAGAGATAAACATTTTGACTTACCCTTTCCCTAAGTAGAGTATGATATAGTTCCTTTCGTCTGTTCTTGGAACAAAACGAACGCAGGTGTTATTATGGTAATTATTCATAGCCTTCATGATTAAGAAATCTTTACTACCTTCATAAATATAAAACATTTTAATAAACCACTGTTTATGTAGCATTGTAACATTCACTTAGCGAAAAATGGAGAAAAAAGAACATCTTGAAGAAGCAAGAAAAACATTAAACACATTCAAGAAAAACACTAATTATAACAGAAATGATTCTCAGTATTATAAGTCATATACTCGTCCATCGAAATTCACTTTTACTGCTGCATAAAATACGTTTTTTTTCCTCAACAAAAATAAAACAGCATTTTTTTATGGAAATATAGCGCAACATTGTTGAAGCATATATTTACGCATTTATTACTCTCAAATATAAAACCATTTCCATTTGTAAAAAAAAATATTTTTATAAATTATTCAAATTTAAGTACTTTCTACAGTTTTAAAAGTGTAAAATGTAAATTATAGCGTTCCTTATTTCCTGTATTTAACCTTTTATTTACTATTTATAGTATCAAGCATGCTTAGGAACTAATCACTGGGGGTTCCGCGTTCGGCTGACCACCTGACCTGAACATCTGCTCCTGCACCCCAGAACCCAAGGTCAAGAACACTGAGATGGTCACAGTAGGCCTTGACCCTCTATGGACTGTCGCGCCACTGAGTTTAGTTTAAGTTTTTACTTTTTTTTATGTGTATTTTCTATTTTTTTCACTTAGTTCACAAGCAGAATAAATTACACTTTAGTATTCAATATAATAGAACTGTGAAAAATTTCCTGAAGAAAATGGTTAAATAGCAATTTATTTTAGATGTACTATTTCACCAAATTAAACCAAAACAAACAAATAACCAGAAGGTGTCAAAAATAATTTATTTACTGTTTTCAGTTAATGCTATTACATTACCAGAAATTTATCCACACCCACTAGGCCTAAAGCTAACGAGTATCGATTCCTCTAAAGCTGTTAGCCGAGCTATATCATAAACATGATGATTTCCTTTTCTTATTTTTCATCATCGGATGCCTAACCCAACAACAATTGCCAAATAATCTTATAGCAATTAGTGTATGGCACAGAAGCTGAATTTACTGAGTGAATTTGTAGCACCATGTTTATAAATACAAATTTCTATGCGATCTCAACGTAGTCAGAAAGAGATTTTTATTGAAAAAATTCAGATTAATCAAGAAATATGTTACTAAATTTACCAATATATGATCTTAAAAACTATATATAAAGACTTTATTTTGTTTAAATTTAATACTGAAGAAATGGAATAAATCCTTAGACAATTAGGCCTGTAATCAAGTAACAGAAAAAGAAATTCTTCATTTTTTGCTCAAGGAAGATTTTTTTTTTCTATATCAGATACAAGCTTAGAAATGTTCTAAAAAGTAGTGCCAGTAGTTTTTCAGCATTAGTTTGTTTGCTTTCCTTTTTGAAAATGAAAAAAGAAAAACGTATTTCCCTTCTTTAACGTTAGATGGCACCACTAGATTAACTAGTTCAGCTACATTCCACGGTTCACTTGAACAAAAACAACTCAACTACAACCTAACTACAGAGTCCATTACCTCACAAAAAAAGCTAACAAAACCTACATTCAATGTAATTCCAATGCCCAGTTAGATTTCATTTTTACGGTTCGGAAACTATGCTAGTAGTGAATGGTTACAAATCCTTATATTTTTTAACCATGCCAATCGTTAAACATTTTCAAACCCGTAAAGATAAAAAAAAAAGGTTTCTAAACATAATGTTTCAAGTAAATTGGTTAGACATACTGTTGCCAGTTATTTTAGCGTAATTTTAGAATTAAAATTCTAACAGTGCTGTTACAAAACGTAAAATATATACTATTTCATAAAATATATATATATATAAAAGGATACTATTGCCGTTATGATGGTAAATGAGACAGATAAATAGTAATAGAATTTGAATTTGTTTATAAATCAGTATCTTACGTAAAGAAGAGTCTATGACGTAAGGAATTGTCGCATTTGGCCACCTATACCTAATTGAAGCGATAGCGTTTCGTTCAATGTCCTGTAATAAAAGAACAAGTACCTCTTGAAACTGCACAATAAAATCAAATGAATGAAAGAAATTGAAATTGATTGCAATAAAGTAACTAACAGATTTGAAGTTAAGTCTATTGATATAAAATAATGCATATGTGCATAATTTATTACGGTAACATTTTGTTTACCCTTTTATTATTATTATTATTTTATATAAATTTCATTATAATTAATTAATTGTAAAATTATTATTAATTTACCGATATAATAAAACTAGATAACTCTATAACTAATATGCATATGAAATATTAGAAGTAGACAGCTATTAAAATTATAAAATGCTTTATTTTTTAAAACAGATGTTTCAGAGTCATCTAGTGTTAATGATATAATCTCGATTAAAAAAAATTTTTGTTTATTTTCACTGCATATTTTTATTTTTTTTAATTAGTTAATAAATTTTATTAATTAATTGATGTATTAAAATGACTGAGTTCCCCCATAAAAAAGCCTAATTTCCAAGGTTTATTAAACTTTTTTTTAGATCATTAATTCTTTAATTTCAAAATGCAGTTTTATTTTCATAACTTTTCCAAGACATCAAAAATATTGTAGGAGAACAGCGAGGCAATAATAAGTAACAATTGATACATTTTATAATAAGATATTTTGTTTTCTAACATTTTTGTAGATGATATAAATTATTAGATCAATTTTGTTTTTTAAAAAATGGTGTTATTTAATTATAAAACAATACTTACCAAAGGTCCATCAATACCAGCCATATCACCATCATATAAATCAGGATTTTCAAGAGCCAAAGTAGCTTCTGAAATTTTAAAGTTTTGATATAGTAAACATTTAAAAATCTATCAAATAATTAATAAATCAATTAAGTAATCTTATAAAAAGTTACGAGAAAATATATTTCTTAAGTCGTGGTGTCTCAGGGGATAGAAAGTTCGACTCCCATTGAGGAGACCCGGGCTCGAATCCTAGTGGTGGCTAGAAAATAATCTATGATAATAAATAATTTGTTTAAAAATAAATCGTCATAATTTCATGAATAATACGTGACAACTTTTGTTGATATTTTCCGGTCGCGTATCGCACTCAATATTTTTTAAAAATTGACAAAATTTTATTTAATTTTTTAATATTATTTAAAATTATACTATCAATTATAGCAATTTATGATTAGTTTCAGGATTTGAAAAGGAATTGAAATAAATTAAAATTTTATTATTATTTTTATGTACAATTGTGGCATACTCTATAGAAAAAACACGAATTACCTCGAATTTATTAATTTTTTTCCATTTAAAAAGGTTTCAAAAGGCACGTTTTACACGAAATTTTTTGCCAACTGAAACATAATGAATCAAAAAATATGTTTATTAGACAGGCTTTTAATTGTACCATAATAAGCCGCAAAAGATTTTTTTCAGAATGTTTTCTTCGGAGCAGTTTTCAGGCACGGTTTAGTTCCATTAAAACGTCCTCCACGAAGCCAAATTTCTCCCATACTTTATCCAGAAGTTCCCTTGTCTTCGGTATTAAGTGAAAATTACAACGCTACAGATTTGAACATTGATAGTAGCAAACTTAAAATTAGGTAAGCTGTTCAACAACGATTATAATAATAAATTTAATGTATGATGTTACATAAGTTAGATTTATGATAAACAATAATTAGTTGAACTGTTTTGTCAGAAAAGATCAAGACGGTCAACGTATGTTGACACAACGATTTGTTGTGTCAAGCACTTTTCTTATATGCTAGTTTCTTAAGAGAAATTTATAATTAATAATATCATTTAAAATTATAATTAATAATGGGATTTAAATTTAAAATATATTTTATAATTGTTAAAATAATATTTATTTGAATTTAAATACTGCAACCATATTTTAATAAACAATTTAAATCTCACTTCGAAGAAAAAATCATGTTTTGTTCTTTTTCTCAGAATAAAAATTTCTCGAGGCTAACAATCTGTCTCGTAATTACATATTTTGACAATTTTTATGTTTATATTGTTATTATTATTTAAGGCTGTTTCTCAAAGGCTCCGTAGCAATATCAAATTATACTTTTTGAACGTTTTTAATTTTCAAAAAACTGTGACTTTTCCCCATATTGAATATGGGGAAAAGTCATAGTTTTTGGTCATAGTCATAGTCATAGTTGCTGTGAGTTTGCAACTGTTACTCATGACTGTTAGGTCAAGTTTAGATATTTAAAGCCAGCGTTGTCTACCTTTATTTTGAAAATGGCGCAAAGCATCAATATGGGGAAAAGTCATAGCTTTTAGAAAATTAAAAACGTTTGTGGTCTAATTTTTTTAATATTCAAAAACTTACTCCAATGCTGCATTAACTGGACTTATAAAAATTTGCAAAAACTGAGAATACGGCAGTAATTTTGATAATTTTCATCTAGGTGGGAAAATGTCGCCAAATTAGTGATTTAAAAAAATGATAAAAACATTTTTAAGTATTAAACAACGGCGTCAAGTGTAGGCCACTGAAACTATGTTTTTTTTTTAATTGTCCTTGGTGACAGAGCTTCGAAAAATAGCGTTAATAATACTATTCTGTAGTGACAGACCAGGTGTAAATTGAAATACACTACTAACTGATAAAACAAGAAAAAGCCAAGATTGATGCGAGAGAAAGCCAAGATTAATCTTAGAAATGCACAGTTTACCTACTAAATCATCTTTCCAAATTGAAGTGTATATGTGTCTAAATGTTATTAACAAGTTGAAATCCTGAAAATAAAATTTAAATTAAATTATTTAAAATTTGCAAATGTGTCGGGACATTTATTTTAACAAAGTTTTTAATGATCATAGAAATCCTGTTATAATAATATAAATCTAAATACACTTCTTATAATCTCACCCTCCAAAACAGAGGTTATTTAGTGGGGCAGCATACAGCCAAGACAGCAGAATGATGGAAAACTCGGAAAAACTGAAATAATTTGTGTTTCTTAAGCACTGGGCGTGATCAGTATGCGTTGAAATAATTACATTATTTTAACTTATTTCACTTTTGGTAAACCTTCAATTAAGCAATTTAAAAAAAACTATTCCATATCGATAGTACAGTTTAAAGTTGTATTTATAAATTTGAGAACATCGTTCGATCATTTTATCTGTTTTTCAAATTTTAAATGTAATGCGTGAATGGAAAATATGTAAAGTTACTTCTTTTTAAATGAGACATCTTCTCCCCGATGAAGCGTTTTAAATTTAAAAACCTTCTCTCGGCCACCCTAGTATAGATCCAATACACATAATCCATTCCTAAGCCCTTCTACCTCTTAATATTGTATCCATCTTCTCCATCTATGTTGAATAGTTTAATACTAATTAGAAAGATTTATAATTTTCCCTACAAAAGAAATATATTTATAAAATCATACCATTTCAAACTTTTTTTTTCCTTCAATAATGCTTAATAAATGAGAAAAAAAATATTACCTTTTTCCTGCTCTGGACTTAGCTGAATATATTCAGCTAAAGTAACAGTGAATAAGCCAATGAAGAACAGAGTAATCTCCATGTTTGTAAAATTAAGTTGGAGGTAAAGGTTTATATTTTGTGTGTATATGACAAAGCTTTTAAATGTACCATGTGTGATACGATTTAATCTTTGGTGAGAAAAAGCCTTCTGTTGTTTTTTTTATTCAGAAATCAAAGTAAAACATTTAAATATTTATATTTATCAAAATTCGTTCGAGAGCAGAATATGTTAGAAAATGCTAATCATTCTACAGGCGTGAAATGCTTAAAGATAATCGTTAAATTATCGAAAGGTGTCAATTTCAGTGATTAGCTTTTTTTACGCTTGAAAAACATTTTTCTTTCTCTTAACTTTATACCACTTTTAAATTAAACTAATTTTATAATTTCTAAACTATTACACTTCTTAAAGAATATAAAATATGTTGAAAACAAATAATTATTTCAAAAATACCAGTTTTTAATAAACGATTGATTTTTTTTTTGTCTTCCTTTTTTTTACTGGAGGCATAAATTTGTTTAGTTCTTGTTTACAACATTGATTTTTAAAAAAAGTCACGCATAATGATACTTTTAAACAAATACATAGTCTGAAAATTTAATTTATTATTTAAAATTTATCATAAGTTAATACTATGAAAATTAGGTAAATTCTATGGTTTCTATTAACCTGAACAAAATAAAACACTCCATTGAGTGCTATCGTTATCACCGTCAGTAACCCAAAGTATAGTTCGTTCACCAGGAGTTGGCACTTGGCTCCACCTCCTCGGACGCAGAGTTCATTTCAACGCGGAAAAAAATTTCCCCGTTTGAAATGGAGATAACCTCAAATGCGGGCAAAGCCTCCACAAGGTTTTTCTTAGGTAGTCCGATCAGGCCATTATGAAGGCAAACCATTTTATGAAAGAGCCTTTTATTAGAAAAATCTAGTAAAAATAAGAAAGTGGTAGCAAATATAAGTCTAAAAATTTGTTTAGTTTTTGAATATGATTAGTTTGTCTCATTTACTTGTCTACCACTACAGATTCAATTCTCAAATATATATGACAAATTCCTCTCAGTCACTTTTAAAATAGAATTTGGTTTCATGCGCTCAAACTGTTCACTTTTTAAATAGTCTGCGCAGGCTACTTATAAGAAACCGTGTGGAGGCCAAACACAAACAGTGAATTCTTTTTCAGTCACTTACTTTGCTTTATCATCAGCTATTATACCTTTCGTTATTCTAGCTAATTTACATTTAAAAACTTTTTCCCAGCAAAATATCTCAAAAAGAACAAACTATTCAATAAAAGGAGAGAAATATCAATAAGTTTATGAGATAAAATGCACATGGTCAAAATATGCACATGAAGATTGTGAAATGAATATTTTTGTCATACGATTGCCAAATAGCAGCCTTGTTCACATCCTTCTCCCCAAAATAGCGAAATAGTATCATCCGATACCACGTGATGAAGGCGGAGCCAAATGCCAACTCCTGGTGAACGAACTATAGTTGAATTTTATGTTTACCCTGGTTTTGTATAGCATAAAGTGGAAAATTACATTAACCTTCAATAGTTTGTCCAATAACCATTTCATAAATTTTAATATGTTTTAATAATCTACAAAGCAAAAGTTTTTTAAAGAAATTAACACAGAATAATAAGCAGAAAACCGTAGTTTGAAAATTTGTCATTATCATCGGAAAATGTTATAGTATTATTCCTCATTTTAAAAATAAATAAATAATGAATATTCGAAATTGGGTTCAAGTTTCAGGCTTCGAAAATTAAACGGACAGCGGTGATTTTTATAAAAATATTTATTAAATATTTACATTGGAACGTTCCCAAACGACTTAGAGTGTTCTTATATAAAGAAAGACAAGTATCACATAAAACAAGGTAAGTTAACTAGTTTTAAGTTATCAAAAAGCTGCTAATATAAAGAAATATTTGCTGGTCTTTACAGTAATCAATACAGAGTTTTAAAATATTTAAAATACTTTTAAAAAAATAATGTATATAGAACGAATTCCATCAAAATTAGGTGGCAACAAAGGGTTGAAATGTGTTACGCGTATCAATAAAATGCTTGCAGAAATTTTCAAATTGAGCTTTTGTGTTCTCCAGAAAGCTTTTCATTTTATCTAAATATATTCATGAGAATACTTTTATTGAGAGAAGTAAATATATACTTAAGCTAAGTTTATAATAATAAAAAGTGCTTTTCATTCAATTTTCGTAATCAAATAAATCTAAAATATGTTTCTGCATTTATTAATTTTATTTGTTGGTAACAAATGTAAAAAAATATAATGCACATTTTAATAAATATTTTAAAAGTTTAATAATTTTCATAAAGTAATATTTTTATATTATTACTTGCTTCCTTGAGAGTTTAACATGAGCGTTTATAATACTATAAAACATTAATAAAGTTGTACAGAAAATATGAAAAATGTATTATGTTATACAGATATAAAGTTCTTAATGAAGAATTTTTTAAGTAACTTTATGACTGAATTCATAATATTAGTTTTAAAAGCTTGGTATAGTGCACAGTGTTAATGATATTTAATTTCCTTTCTGAAGATTTTTTTTTAAAGAACAGGTTTTAAGAAGAAATAACTTTTTTTCTAAAGCTTCCTTCTGTTTCCATGTTTTCTAAAGCTGATATTTCTGAAATCATAAATTGTCACTTAAATTCTTTTACTCAGCTCCTTATGACCTTAGCATTAAAGCCTGAAATTATCATAAGTGACAGTTCAAAAATACACAGTAGTAACAAACGATACTTATAGCTTAGAACTTTAAAACCATTTCACTAATCGAAGTTATTACATTGCCTTTGTTTAAAAATATGGTATAGTGCGCTGAGTTAATGAGACGTTTTTTTCTGCCTGCTTTCAAAGAAAACAGTTCTTAGGGAAAAAAACTTCTGTTCAACACATAGCCTGATATCTTACCTTAATATTGTCCAATACAATTTATTTTGGACCACGCATTATATTACCGGGTAATAGTGTACCCTAAAAAAGGAAATAATTATAGGCTTATTAGGGGGTACATAATGCGTCCTTATAGATTAGTATGCATGTATATATGTGTATAATAGTGTGTTTATAAGCTTTAAAATGAGGAAATTCGATCTCAATATTCTGTTTCAGCAAATAGCTCGATATCTTACCTTAATATTGACCCATTATATTTATATTGGAACACGTATTATATTGCCGGGAACTAGTGCACCCTACAGGAGGAAATAATTATAGGCATATTAGGGGGTACACAATAGCTTGCTTAAGCTTCCTGTAACAAATAACAAAACTTAGAAGTTGTGTATTAAGTGCAATGAATGCATAATAAGAAACTTTATCTTCTCAAAGGGAGGTAAACCTATTGCTGCAGTACCGTAAGTATTAAGATCTATGTTGGTATGGGTTGTCATTAACATGATACTTATAGTGGCACAAGGCTCACACCGACCACAGTGCTGACATAAAATATCCTCAATGCCAGACGGAACATGGGTTAGAGTCCCCTTGCCGGTAAAAGAACGGCGGGATGTTTTCGTAGTTTCCTTCTCAATATAACGCAAATGGGGGTTAGTTCTGTTAGAAAGATTTTCCCGAAGGCAAATTCCTCCAACTAGTTGATCCAGATGTTTCCTTGTCTTCTGGATTGAGTACAAAATTAAAAGGCTATGAAGTTGAAAATAGATAATCTCAAAATTTAATCTCATAATTTAAATTTAATGCCGTAATCTCAAAATTTGGTCGTCTGCTCAACGACGGTAATAAAATAAAAATACAAATTGTAGTAGTAAAACATTGTATCCATCGCAAAATATTAATATTGATGCCACATGGCTTAAAAGTTTGCTAAAGAATCATAAATAATAAATTCAAACATGATATTTTAAATTCAGAAATCAGACACAAAAACATACTTTCCTTGAATAACCAAATTTTTTAAATTTTTTATTTGAAGGATTCTGATTGTTGACCCAAAAAATATAGGGAGTAGCCTCGATTTGGGAAATATGGTACAGATAGTTTAGTCAGGAGGGCAGTTCAAATCTTTGACCCTTTAATGTTAATTTCACTTTTTGCATATATCTTGAATTTTGTAAGCGAATTAAAATATTTTTGCACACATTTATAGAATTCGTTTATTCAGACTTAATTCCATGCAAAAAATAACTTTTAGTAAATATTGATTTTATTTACCAATTTTCGTAAAAATTTTTAATTGTAAAGTGCACAGTTTTTTACCATCATTTTAAAGAATTCAAATTTACACGGCAAAATACAAAAAGGGAAAAAAATCGGTTAAATAGTTCCTGGAAAATTGAATTTCAATAAAGTCAGATACTTAAAATTTAATTTCTCAAAAACTATTTAATAGAATTTGCGAAAATTTTGAATTTTGCCATGTAAAATTGTTTTTTTTTAAATTATGCAAAAAATTCTATTCTTTAGAAATCAAATTTTTTTCGACCATCATCATCGTGTCCGAGTAATAAGCAGACAATGAAAATCTGGGAGGTAAGAGCTGTTTTAATATTCGCAAAATTATTCACAATTTCGTAACACTGATATGTGTGATTGCGTCGAGCATAAATTAATGTTACAGACAGGGGATGCCGGGTAAAATTAACCTTAACTGGTTCTACGAAACTGGCAACTTAGGTACAGTTACCCAGTACAGGTACCATGGTATTGCATACTGAAATTCGTCAACCATGTCCGGATAATAAGCAAACAATGTTCTGTTTACCCGGTATATCTCTAGTAGAGATTAATAAAATGCAAATTATGAAAATAAATTGAAGAAAATTAAAAATGTCAAATAAAAGTATCATAGAAATAATGAAACATTATATTCTTATCATTTATTAATAAGAGTCACATTTGTACATTTTGTTTACTCTTTCAATATCATTTTTGGTCATTCCTGGCTTTTTGTATGCGTGAAACAATTTCTGTCCATTTCTGGCCACCATCGTGTCTTTTCCATTCTTGGAGAAGGATTTGTTATCGTAAATCATGATGGAGTCGTAATCAAATTCATTGTACAAGATATTCCCTTGTGGACTAAGCTTTCGGAAGTTACTCTGAGCACCTAGATTATAACAAATTATAGAGTTGAACTGAAACATAATAAATACTTACAATTTCATGCGTAAGCTACGTGATAAATAACTTCGGACTTTCCACTACAGTTTCAATCCTTAGTAATTCCACTTCTATTTTAAAAGTAAATATTTTGTACTTTGATAAATTTTCGTAAACAACGAAACCTGCATTTTTTCAATATTTGAATCATCGAAGATGTGAAATACCAATTAAAGAAAAATATAAATTAAATTACATAAAGGGAAAGCTGGTTGATGAGAATAGAGTATCTCACTAAATTTCGAATGTATTTGCAGCATTCGTAAACAGATAGCGCCGTTGTTTGTAATTCTAAATAATATGTTTTCTGTAGCATTTTAAACCAATTCAACTGAAATTTTGGCAGAAATGTCTGTCAATTTTGTACCAGATTGTACTACATACTGCTATTAATTTTAAAACAACTTCGGAAACAGATGGCGCTGTAAACAATTATTAGATTACCATGTTGACGAACTTTGTGATAACAAGATTTAAAACTTCTAAAAAAGAAATTTTTAGATAACCTGAAAATGCTATCACTTAACATTTTTCTATCACTTTATTCATATCGTCGGTTATTTTTTAGAGCCACTGGTTCGAAATAATAAAAAAATGCAATAATGCAAACAATAGTTCTTATCCAGTAAAAAAAATGCGCTACATTTTTTTGTGAACAAATACATTTCGTAATAAACTTGAACATGTAGATTTTTGCTCTGGAACACTATTAGAATTGTGCGCTTAGCAGTATACATTATGTGCACCACATGATTAGTAAACACATTTTTTTTGCGTTTCCACTAAGTTAACACACAGTTTTCTGACCAGTGTCACAGTATATAACTTTAAAACAGGCTTACCATTAGGCAAACTAGACTTATCATTGTCATTATCTAAAAGAAAAACGTCCGTTTTAAATTTCACACAGTGATGTGTACTAGACCTGTTTCTAAAAGTACTTTCGCAATAATTACGTATTCTGTACATTTGAATGGTTTCTCCTAATGCTTAATCCTAGAATTCCCTTGTCTTCTGGGTTCAGGTTCAAAATTACATGTCGATGCAGTTGAACATCGATAGCTGTAAACTCAGAATTCGGACGCCTCTTCTACTCCGGTTATATGGTTACAAAATAAAATAAAATTAGTTATGTTGAAACTAAAGCGAAAACAAAAACAATTTTTGTACTTTAAACATAACCATATTGTGCGACCGCTTTAGGTTATTCATGAACAAACATCTGAAAATATATCTTACATGAGTCATCAAATAGACTTCAGCTATTTTGATAACACCAGCAAATAATTATGATATTTATATACTGTGTCTGCAGATATCCCAGCTACACACATCCGAGAACAAGTTTATTATTATAGAACTCATCTTGTTTTTTTTTTAAAAAAAGGAAACAAAATATTTACTTACTTTGTGCAACATTTTCCAGATAAATGATCAAGTACTCATCTCTGTCAGATCTGTTCTGTTCGTGGTAGAATCCAACTGCGTGTCCCAATTCATGAATGATTGTACCAAAGTAGTGACAACCGTAACCAAGTGATAATCTCTGCTGACCGTAAATTCTACCCACATAAGAATAACACCTGTGGTAACAGAAGCGAAATAAATTATGTTTGAAGCATTAAACTCTATCTTCATTATATATATATAAGAGCTGTTTTAATAT